CTAATCATAGAGGTCTGCATACATATATGTATGCATACTATACCTATTTCGGATATTATCTCTAGCCAGTCTAGTATACTTTTATCGAACTGTAAAACATGACCAGAGATCAGTTAGAAGCAGCAGTGGTAAGTTGGATGAAAAGCGCCATTATCTACATGTGCGATCTATACTACCATGAAGGTCCGAGAAACTAGGGCAACATCCATCCTACTATATTCGGTCTGCATATTCACCAAACACGGGGAATTGATTGATGGGGAAAGCAAGTTTACGATATTGTCGTATTCGGACATCTGTTGATGTTGTCTGTCTCGATTTTCTAAGCTCGGTTATACTGTATACAATTACACAATATTGGTCGGTCGTGGGTAGGCTATAGTTTACTAAATCAGTACTACCTAGCGCATCACTGTAATTGGAGGTTTATAGGAGAGTCAAAACGAAGAAGAAAAGAGGTTAGTCATGCACCTGGATGCATGAAGTGCATAATATCATTCATCATAAAGGCATTGGTCCTCACGATATACCTAAAGCCTGCCATAGGCTATGTATTCCCTCCCCCCCAAACCAATTGTACTGTCACATATATCTCATCAACTTATCCCCCCTAGACTTTTAGTACCAAGTGAATTGTAACCAACATTTCTGTTGTTTTGGAATTCAATCATAGACCGTGCTCGTGGGTCTCTAGCCCCTGTGGATCCAGGACACAAAAAGCACTAGACGCGCCCCAGGCTGGGGTTGAGCACTCGGTGTGTGTGAAAGTATTGTGAATATTTATAAAATAGTCCCAGAAAAGCAAATTGAAACACCAGGGCATATCAAATAGATCCTAAGAGACACTGAATGTTCAATATCAAAAGGTCTTATATGGGAGCATCGAGAAGAAAAGTCAATTCCCTACGGAGTACGCGTCTATCAAATAGCAATGTAGTAAAATATGAAACATTCTAAACCAAACCATTATTACTACAGTATCAAAACAATTGCAATGTTCCAAAATCCAAACGCGTGCTCAACACGCCTATGTGGAGCTCCAGTCCGTGCTCTATACAAGGCTAGTAAGTTATCGACTAAACGCGATCGACGCGCGAGACCGTTTTTCTTTTTCCAGACCCGTCTACTTTCTACTTTCTACTTTCTACTTTCTACCTTCTACTTCTTAACTTTCTACTTCCAATTGTGATAACTTTGAAAGTTGAAATTCTCTTTACATTGGGTCGCGTCAACATCAGACTCCCCCGCAGTACTCCCGGATTCTACTACCTCGACCTTCTATTCCCCTCAATCCTCCCCTCAAAACCACCTGGGTAATATCCTCAAGCTCCACAATGAATTCGACTTCAGTGCAATCAGTACAATCAGTGCAATTCAGTCCTATCAAGGACGGACGACGAATTCTCGGCGAGAAAGACTCAAACGCGTGTCTGTCCCCCACCACACACGTCAAACCATCATTCCCGGCCATTGGGACCCCGGTCAAGCGGATGTCGATTGCTACCTCACCTAAGAAGCTTCTGCCCTCTCCCATATTTGCAGGCCAAAAACGGACACGGGATCAATTGGAGGAAATGGAAGAAAACCTCGGACACGGGCAGACGCGGGAATCCTCTCCGCAGCCCGGCATCCAATCCACTGTCAATGTCAATGATGATATACAAAACCAGGTAAGCTCATGCGAGACATACAAAGAAGTCCCGAGAATGATCGGTCCAAATCTAACCATAAACGCGCGAATAATAGCTCAACCAAACCCCCACACCACAAAACTCACAACCCGAACGCGACCAAATACAAGATCAAATGAACACCGATCAGTCTTTCAATGTGCCCAGCACCCCTGAGCAAGAAACGCGTAGTGTTACCTCAGAGTCCGACGCGCGAAAAATGTTCATCCAACAAGTATGCGGACCTTGATATCAGTATCAAAAAACATTTCCCGCCGGGCAGTTTCTAACAATTGAACAGAAAGCAAGCCTTCTCCGATCAAGACTACAGAGCGCGATGCGCAATGTGACAGACCACCAGTTCGACCGCCGGGTCTCCGAGCTAGAAGCACACAGTCGCAAATGCCCACGACTCTCACTCTCCGTCCTCTCCACACCACCTCTCTCATCGCGCAAACAATTCACATCCTTTTCATCCTCGCAAATGAAGACACCCCGTATCGGCTGCGCTGGTTTTACTTCCACCCCCTCCCACAGCACACCCGATCTTCCAGGCCGACCTTCCCCATTGTCTTCCAGCGTTGTTCAGCAACGCACAAAATCACACGCGCAACGAACACCGCCTCGTGGGCTCGGTTCCCCAATGCAACTGAGTAGTCCTCCAGCCACGGTCATTCGCCGTGAAGCCGATAGGGAAACAAGCATGGGCCCAAGAGCTGAGCTCGGTATGGACGATGTTGATGCTATGTCGCCATCACAGCGTGGTGACGCGGTCGATGGGCTATTGAAACTCATGAGTACGGCAGGTAATCAAAGTTCGGACTCGTGGACTGGATGATTCAGCGGCATTGTTTTTTTTTTCCCTTGTTGATATTCTTTTCAGACTATTGCTTACCGTATGGAGCATGTCTGAGTGAATTAAATCGCATTGCATGATGTACAAGCAACGAGCATATCGAGATTCGTTGATATACTTCAAGTCTTGATTCTAACATGACAGCGGGTTATCCCATTTTGGAAGCATGCAGCATTATTAGAATAATTCGTCTATACGTTGCGATCAATGATACCATTTGTGCATTTGAACAGTTATCAGTTTCCTCCTAACACCAAGATACAAGTTTGAAATCAATAGCAGTGCCGTCTTCCTAGGCGAGTACATAAAGACAGCCACACGGTGTTTCACCCAGGAATGCTGCAGGGCAATATTAAAAATCTATATTGAAGTTCCAGATAATAAAAAAACCGCTAAATGTATTATCAATTGATTCAAGGTAAATAACATCTATCTAATAAGACGTCCTTCAGCGAACCTTCTTCAACTTATTACGCTTCCGTCCAAGAATATCACGACCCTCATCAATCTCACCCGCAGCCTCACGCTTTGCAGAGCCAACCTCCTTAAGCAAACCGGTTCTCACAACACGGCTCTCAATATTAACACCTTCCTGCTCGAACTCCTCCATCTGCCTACCAACACGCTGTTCAATAGCAAGAACGAGCTCAACATCACGCTGTCCAACAAGTGTGGTAGCCTCACCATTCCGACCCGCACGTGCAGTACGACCAACACGGTGCACATAGTCATCCGGGTTCCGGGGCACATCGAAATTGATAACCAGCTCTACAGACGGGATATCAAGACCACGCGAAGCAACATCCGTAGCAACCAAGACACGGGCAGCGGTGGCTCGGAAACGAGCCAGGTTAGCCGTGCGCTCGGATTGCGGGAGGATACTGTGGAGGGAGGTGATGCGGTGGCCGAGGCGGCGGAGGGTGCGTTCTAGCAGATCGCATGTTTTGGTATGGTTGCAGAAGACGATGACTGGCTTCGTGACGTTTACTTCTGTAGAGAGCAGCGCGTGCAGGAAGGCCTCGCGGTGTGTCATGGGAACCTTCAGGTATGTCTGCTTGAGAGTTGGCGGGATCTTGCCTTGGTTTTCGGTGCCGATCTCGGTCATGAAGATCGGTGGCTTGTTGCCTGCTGCCGGCATGGACTGCAGTGCCCGCACTTCGGCTGTCATGGTCGCTGTGAATAACAGTGTTTGACGCTCGGCGGATGGTGGAAGTGCTCCGAGACATGTTTCTACGTCTGGTAGCATGCTTCCTGGCCCACTGGCTAGTAGGCGATCGGCTTCATCGAGAACAACCATTTTAACGCGGCGGAGACCGGCTACTGTGTCTTCCCCGGACGTCTTGATGTGATCGGCTAGTCGGCCAGGTGTTGCGATAACCACGTGAGGCCGGTTCGCAAGTTCAATAGCCTGCTGGCGCATATCCACGCCTCCGACGACGAGGATAGGCTTCATATTTTGCGGCGCGGAAACGGCCCGGAATTGTTCGTAGATCTGGAGTGCAAGCTCACTACCCAGAAAATAAGGTCAGTTACCGAAGAGGAAAGATAAAACCCCTCAAATCCACCATGAACATCGAAACATACCGAGTTGGGGTCAAAACCAAAGCGTAGATCCCGAATGGATTGCGCGCCCACTGCTGCATAATCGGAACCGCAAAAGCCATAGTCTTTCCGGAACCGGTGCGACTTCCACCAATACAGTCCTTGCCTTTCAGGATCTCAGGAATACAGGCCTTCTGAATAGCAGTTGGCCGTTTAATCGCCATTGTCGTCAGCGAAGAGACAAGCCAAGGCGCAACGTCCAATTCCGAAAAGGTGGACAGCCCACTCTGTTTACCAAGCTCAATTGCATCGCTAATAAGGACCGGTTCCTCTTCCTTCGATTCAGGCTCCTCCTTTACCTCACCCTTCTTCCTGATACGAGAGAGGGTGGGGAGCGGTGCAGGTGCGACGTATGAGTCGTTGGAAGACTCCGAGAGACGGCGGCGTTTGGGGGCTCGGTCGTCGACATCGGGTTGTTCCACGTCAGAGTCATCGGATACATCGGAGTTTTCGAACTCCGGATTCTCTGTGGTCGGGGGCGCCATCTTGTTTGCGACTGTCTATCAGGACGAAATAATTCTGCGGCAGAAAAAGTTATCTCTGATAAGCGGTGGGAGATGTTGGAGCCTGGTTTATAAGGCACTAATATACTTAATCAAACGACGTTGGAGTTGACTATACAAGTATTGCATAATGAAAGTAGTTGTAACTGGAATTTTTACTAATAACCGACACCAATTTGTTTTCAGTCTATGGAGCAATAATTACTTCATGAAGTCTCGAATAATTTATGTGGTTATAGCCGGAAAAATCGGACATCAATCGATATTCTAAGCAGTATGGTTGCTCATCAAATAATGATGGTGAAAATAGCAACAGAACCGAATATGCAAAACAATTTTTATTGCAAGACAGGATATTGTAGGCATTATTTAGTCTACCCTGCTAGCTGTGCTCCTTCTGCGTGAAACAAGGGAGGGGAGCTCATATGCCTCACCTCGCTCTAGATCATCCTCTTCGACTGCAGATTCCGGAGAAGCCGAAATTCGGTTTCTCAGGACTCCGTCACCTCTATTTGAATACTCGTCCCGGGCCCCGCTAGAAACCGCTTCATCGTAGTCCTCCATTCCGTGGGTGCCACCGACACTTTCCATGGTGAATGGACTAGCTGTCGGCCCGTCGAGTGCTGCAAGTTCTTCGCGGGAGAACCATTTAGGAAGCAGGAACGAGCGAACTGGTATTAGAAGGAGAATGATAACAGGAAACCCGATGGCAGCGATTGTCTGAGTGATAGCGAAAGTCGCACCAAAGCCAAACAGTTCAAGAGCGACAAAGACCCAGATGGCGGAACGGCGCTCAATTCGCTTGAGAGGATTCGATGCAGAGGTAAAATTCTTGTCTTCGGCAAGGAAGATCAGTTTTTGCGTAATGCCATTGCCTTGAAGAGCCTGGACACCCATAATGAAGAACAAACCAGCCATCACACCCTGTGGAATCAAGTGGAGCACGATGAGGAGGGGCCCAGTCATTGTTCCCAGGGTCAAAAGTCCCTGTGCGAAGTTGCTAACTCTCTGCTCTACTACGTGGTCTGTTACTCGGATAGCTTTGCCCTTGTTTGTGTCGTCTTCGTCTGCGACCTGACGAGTGACGCAGAGGGCGGCAGTGTGGAAGGGGGCCTGGGGAATCAGGCCATTGGGGAATGGTATCCCCAGAATTCCAGCCACGAAGGTTGTGAGACCGAGGAGCCAAATGTCCCAATGGAAGCCAGCTGGCTTCCGAAGAGGAAATTCGGTTCCCTGGGCAATGAGAGATGACACTGGAAGGGACGCGTCAGTCATAAAATCCAGTGTAATTTGCTCGTTGTAAAGTACTCACCATTGTGATCAAAGTAAAAGAGAATTGTGAGAAGAATTGCAAATGGGATAGCAAGGAAGATATCTCCAACACTGATATCCCAAAAATGTACAAGCCAAGACCGGGCAGTTGTAGGAAAGAACGCCTTGCTAGTAGGGAGCGTGGCGATATCAACATCCCTCATCTGACCGATGTAGACGAATCCGGTAAAGAAGATGATGGTCAACGGTGTACCGTAGTCCTCCAGGAACTTCCGAACGGGTCGCTTGAAAAGATTGCTGTTGCCCAGTTCTCCGCAGATCCATGCACACATCAGGACAAGTAGTGCAACCATAATACTCAGGTAAGCAGAGGTCTCTCCCACAGAGCCCCATTGTCTGGTGAGAACTTGAATGCCCTTCTGGATATAGATGCAAGCAACGTAGAACCCAAAGATGTCGCACGAGAATCGAGTGACATATGTGAGGGCGTTGCAGGAATTAGTGATGGCCAGTATCCAATGCATAATCAAAGACCAGCTACGATAAATATCAGTCAAGTCAATGATACCAAAATGATAAACGAAACTCACATTCCAATCCAACACATGAATGCAAGATACGGTGTCCCTCGAGGAGCTATGATATCATAGACAGTATAGTTGAACACAGTGATGGGACCTACAATTCTCAGTTTAAGACTTCATAACCATATGCTCCGTTTCTTACCAGTAACACCGACAATGACCAACGGCTGAGCCGCAAAAAGCGAAAACACAATTGCGCCAAGAACAGAAGCAAGTAGAACTTCATTGACGCCATAGCTCTGCCTTGTCTTCTCGAACATATCCAACGAGAAGGCCAGAGCAGGCAAGATACTACACTGATTGTGAGCAAATGAAACGGTGCACCGAAGAAAAGATATTGATTGATATGAAACCATACTTAGCAAAATACATATAGACCGTAGCAGGCACGACACGATAATCCCATGCATCAGTCCAATCGCTCCAATAATATGGTGCTCTGCGCTTGACATCGTTGATCATTCCACGGAACAAGTGGACATGCCACCATTTCGGCTGTGAGTGCACCGACGCTGTCGTCGACGCACGATGCTGCGAGTTTTCTTGGGCGCTGTCTTGTTGGTCCAAATACTGGCCAGGTTGACGTGCAGTACCATGATCAGATTTACCTGACCGCGCTGAGCGCATCGATGATAGCCGATGCGACTGCCGAGAAGGTTTCCGCTGAGCGGACGTAGAAGCGTGCATGTTGGGTCCCGGGAGGGACAAATCCCCGTGTGACGACCCTTGCATATGCAATGGTGGGATGAATCCGATGCTTCAGTGCAATACAACTAGCATAGATTCAAAAAGAGCTAGGTACTTGTATTGTTATGCAAATAAATATAGGAGGGTCACGAATTGGGACATAATTGAGGGGAGCTTGATTTTGTGGAGAAATGTTGGAGCTGATGAAGCCAAGACCTGTAAGTGGAGGCCTGAGGCATCAACTTCTCGTTAGGATCTGCCCAGCTCGTCAGGCAGCTACGTTCATATACGAGTGTACGGGGTAAATACGACAACCCAACATTAAAGTCAAGATGAACTAAAGAGGATTAGTCGTATTACTCAAAACTGCATAGGAAAGAACAACTATGGAGTTATTGGAAACATTGTTAGCGAGCCGTGGGCTTCTGAAATCAATCCTGGTTGAATTGTCTTTCAAAGCCACCATAGCAAATTTCTTCACGCATGGAAAAACGATTTGAATCGAGATTACTTTTTCGCTGGGAGGCGAGGTCATCACTGGGGAGGTGGGGGTGGAGGAGGCAGGTCGCTGGGAGGCGGTGGAGGCGGGGCATCGCCAGGGGGGGGCGGAGGGGGAGGGCTACCAGCACCTCCAGGGTACATTGGAGCCATCCCAGGAGGGGGAGGAGGCGCGCCCATACCAGGAGGGGCAGCACCAGGAGCGCCCATGCCAGGAGGGTAAGCCGCATATCCACCGTATCCACCGTATCCACCACCATAGGCAGGCTGCTGTCCGCCAGGAGGGGCCTGTTGCTGCCAAGGAGCAGCGCTTGGGGCAGTACCAGGGGCAGCATAACCACCTTGAGATCCGTAAGTGTAGTCGCGGGTTTGGGGTTGACCTGGGTGTTGGTTCTGTGCAGCCCAAGGGGCAGGACCGCCTTGGTTGCGAGATCCATGATCATCACGAGATCCATGGTGATCACGGGATCCATAGTTATCGCGGGATCCATAGTTGTCGCGGGATCCGTAGTCATCACGAGGGCGAGGTTCGCGGCGTTGTTGCCATGGAGCCACATCACTTTGGGGTGGTGGTCCACGTTGTTGCCAGGGCTTTAAGTCACGGTCGTCAGGATGGCCATTACCGCCATCAGGACCGGCTTCAATGCGACGGGGTTCGTATTCGCCAGGAGCCCCACCCGACAACTCGTTCATCAATTGCTAAGTGAGATGTCAGTATAATGTCTGATAAAGCAGTCATGAACAAAGAGAACTTACCTCCATCTCGCGATCCACGGCATCGCCAGTGCCAACAGCACGGTCGCCACGTCTGTCCGCGCCACCGGCGTTACGCCAGTCACTGCCTCTCTGGCGATCAGGACAATCGCGAGCCATATGACCAGCATTGCCACAGACACGACAGATGATGTTCGCAGTGAAGTTACGCTGTTCGGGACAGTCATACTTGCGGTGTCCGATTTGACCACCTGAGGATCACGGTTAAAATTAATTGCCCAAAAAATTTGAAAGGTGTCCACTTACAGTTCTGGCAAGCCTGGTTCTCATCGTCACGAAGGGTACCATTAAGAGCAGCCAGCTCACGAAGTTGGTTGCGCTTGAGCTCGTTCTGGCCTTCGGGGATGGATGCGGCCTGATAAATTGTCAATATCGGTATTTTAAACCACAAAATGAGACAAGGGAACTTACTGTTTCAATGACATTGTGGACAAGCTTCTTGGCCTTGTTAACCTTTTCTTCGGTGTCCGCCATAATCAGACAGTGAAGATCTTCTTCCTGGTTGCTACCGTGAGCGGCGTCAGATCGACCTTTTCCTTCTTTGACGGAGCCTTTGCCTCGAATGGCAATCTTAGCGCCGGACTCGGTCTCCATCTTTTTCAAGGTGTTTCCACGAGGTCCTATGAGTAAGCCAACTGTAAAAATAGCAAGAGCTAAGTGTTAGTGATCCTGTAATTGTTTTAAAATATGTGCAGCATCAAGCACCACGGTTTAGCAAGAAACAAGCTGAGGACATCCAAGGTGGTATGCCTTGTCAGCTCGAGTCGAGTAGGGACTCGTGATAAACGCAATGAAAGAATGGTTAGGAGTTAGAGGGTTAGTTATCATACTGAAGTTAATCTCTGGATAGTCATTCACGGGGACGTAGACCTTCTCCTGGGTCTTGGTGGGGCGTCTGTAGTCAGAAGGCGGGTTGTAGTTAGGAATGGTCTTGATGGCCTTCTCGACCAGTTTATGGCGTTCATCCTCAAGACGCTTGCGATAACGGTACTCGCGAGTGTTCACACGTCTTCCGAAGTTATCGTACTGGGGAGGTGGCGAGGGAGATCTGTTATGAAAGTCAGTACACAAGCACAAATTACAAAGGACGAAAGCATGTACCTGTCACCATCGGCGGGGACCACATCGTTGATTCGAAGCTTCTGGCTAATTTCCTCGATACGAAGATGAAGTGTGTAAGCTTCAAGCTGTTCGCTGGTGAAGTTCGCCATGATCATAGTCGGCAGGCCCATAAGACCGGCGGCCTTGTTCTCTTGCTGGTCACCCCAGCGGTTGCGCTTCTTGCGCCTCTTGCCATCCGTGTTCAGGGGACCTGGATCGGCTTTGAAATAGAAGTCAGACTTGGTTTGTTTTCAAAACTTTCACCTTGGTAGAAACATACCTCGAACAGGGCTGCGCCCACGCTTGGGGCCATCGGGGCCCATAGACGAAGAGGGCATAGAAGAAGGGGTCGCAGTGCGACTTTCCTCTTCTCCATCCTCGCCGCCCATGCGTCGCCGACCAAGCGGGATGTTGTTGGAGCCAGTTATTCCTTGGTTGCGCCAAGCCATGACTACTGCTTTGGATAAAAAAAAAGTGAGTAGTAAGTGATCTAGGTAGAAAGGATGAAAGAAGCTTCAATGTTCAAGAGGCGAGCATTCACACGTGATTTTAGCAAAATCTTATTTAGTAGGCGGTGGCGAGGCTATCCTCGGATTTATGTATACCCGGACTAGGAGCACTGTAGCGGTTGTGGCTCGGATGATTATTTCCCCGCCCTGCCTTATAGGTGAAGAGAGGAGGAGAGTTGCTGCGATGAGATGTGGATTGTGCATTCCACTTCTATGTATTATTAGCTTCCTCAGACTCATCATGGGTTCAGCTGTCAGTCAAGTCTCTTTCCTTTCGACCAACACGGAATTCTCTCTCAATCATCGACAGCATCTAGGTAAAAGGTTTTAGTCTCCCATATCCGGCTTTCAATCTAAATCTCCCAACTGCTTCTCCTTTTTCCATTGCTTCAAGTCAAATGTGCCTTCCTGTAGTTCATCCCGTTGTCCATCCCACATGAAAGTAACCCCTTCAACAGTCACTTTCGACGCTATCATCATCATTCAGAAGGTCAATCGAGCAAGGTATTAGCTGGTATTTGTGCGTCTCATAGGCTGCGAGTCGATCAAGTTCCGTCTGCGACAAGATTTCATATGCCATGCCGTCGACTGAACGGAATGGCTCTCCATCAAGAAGGGCAGTGTAGGGCCCCCACAGCTTGATTTCAAACCCTATCACTCTAGCACGACGCATGATGGGGGGTCGCTCTGAAGATTTCAAGACTTGACAGAGCGTATGTGGATCCATTAATGTCCCGTAGAAAAAACAATATTCTCTTTGAGACGGATCTATAGGCCAACCATCTTCAGCTGAATTGTCAGATGCTGTTTGGCTGTGCCTTAACGTGTCTGCCGAGTCATTGTATTCAAGGAATTTGCGGAGCATCGGGGAGGGGCGTTTGTCGCTCATTGTGTGCCAGGGTAGGTATGCAGATGCTGATCTCAACACGCCAGAGATCGGCTCAAGGGACGCAGGTGATAACACTGTATATTCTGCTATCTCTGTGGTGTAGTGCCATGGAGAGAGAAAAGAGTTGGAGTCGGGTACCTGAGACCTTCCAAGGTGACAACCTTGGAAGTCTGGGGAAATTACGTCAGTAGTACATCTGCCGGGCCGGCCCAGATCCAGCCCATCTAGAGGAACCTGTCCCGATCTGGACTTTGCTGGGGTCTACCCCTTTGTCCCGCCTTCGGCTGTGGATTGTGGTTTGACTATTTGCGGTGTTTGTAGGGTTAGGAGTGGTTGTGTCAGTGGGCCGGGCCCGGGCGTGTTTAACGATTGTGTAATACCCAGTGGCGTCCACGGATGTTCAGTTTTACTCGGTGATCAAAAGGCGGCAAAGAGTGGGCGCTAAATCGGAAAGGGAAAGCCATGTGTGGCCTGCAATCCAGTGTATACATATATGTACGTACATATGTGAAGTTTACGGTCTCTTGATTCGAATTTCGTCTCAAATTATCTGCTATGTTATTCAACTGTCATCAATGTCATATCGGTTCTTCAAACTTTGCCTTTGGCATCGGCCTGCATCCCCTGTTGAATCCAAGACCTGGCTTCAGCAGCCGCTTTATCCACAGCCGCCTTATCCTTGATAAGTTCTTTAATTGTATGAGGGGCAGGAACATGTCGGCCCTTCTCAGTACCCGGTCGCTGGGCCATAAGTTCCTCCCAGGCCTTAACATTCGGGAACTCGTCAATATCGATACCGGCCCATCCTGCAGCGGCCACCCACCCCCAGTGCGAGATATCGGCAATAGAGACGTGGTCACCGACAATATAACCAGACTTGGACTCGGCGAGGTGCTTGTCCAAAACACCGTACAATCGGCGTGACTCATTGACGTATCGGTTCACACCATACTCAATGCGCTCGGGGGCGTACCGCGAGAAATGGTTGGCTTGGCCTTGCATGGGTCCTAGGCCCGCATTCTGGAAAAACAGCCAGCTCTTCATCTCGTAGTATTCCCGCGTGCCCTTGGGGAATGAGATCTTGTAGTCTGGATCGTACTGTTCTGTCAAGTATTCCAGAATGCTGCCAGACTCAAACAGCCGGATCTCCTGGCCATCGCTGAAGGTGTCTGTCAAGGCAGGGATGCGGCCATTGGGGTTGATCTTTAGGAACCAGCTGTACGGAAGTTAGATCTGTTTGTGAAGGTAGTTGTAGAGATGTAAGCACATACTCTTCCTTTTGGGTATTCTTAGATATGTCAATCTTCTCAACCTTGTATGGCAGGCTGCAATCTGTTAGTACTAAAGCTGTAAGGAGGCCAAGGAAACTACTATACCCAAGCTCCTCTAGCGCGATGGAGATTTTGATGCCATTGGGGGTCTGGGTCGTGTAGAGGGTGATGTTTGGTTGCGTCATGTTGATAAAACAAGAAATGGTACTGAAGAGTGAACCTGAGATGATTGAAGCGGTTGAATTATTGTTGTGTTTGAAGATAAATCGATGATTTAAGTATGCGATGACTGAGGTCATATCTAGTCTTCGGCCCCACCCCGCTTTACGGATTTATAAGCTCGTGCAACTCGCGGAATGTTCTCCCGAGGTCTCTCCAAGCCGGATCCGGCTAAGTTCTACTACCCTGAGTTAAGTCCCCTCTATGACCTACTTCTGTAGTACCAATGGATGTTATTCTTGCTGATAATTGTAGTACCCTCAGGGCTGCCTCTTATTTTCATTCAATGCATTGGAATGCTGACAAAACCTAGGAAAAACCTAGATTAGAGGCGTATCTCCTGTTGTGCATAGCTGGACTTATCACAGCATTGACAGTTATGGGTTTGATTGAGAATAGAATACATTAGGCCCCAGCAAAATTTCTGGATCATGAGAGCCAGGAATATCTGTTGAGATGTCTAGGTGAGATCAGACTTCGTTTGAGGCCTATAAAGGCCCAGTTTGTTCATGAACAAGACCAGCAACTCGTCATCTCTTTCTTCTCATGTGCTTAGTTGCCAACACTTTTCTTTTTTCTTTTTTCTTTTCTTTTCTTTTCTTTTCTTCAAACTTGGTTTCGGTTTGCTCGATACAGTGGGCTCAAATCCGCCTAAAGCCCATCCAGTCCTAGGCAGACTAGGAGGCTGTTACTGATATCCATGAAAACAGACGTTAGGAGATAGCTCTATTGGGGTCACAAAAGTTTCTAGTCTTGAGGTCTGCAACTAGGCTAAACAGAACAAAGGCGTGACGCTCTAGTGCAGTTGACATATATATACTATTTCATGAGCACTAGCCTTCTGCCCCAATATGTGCATGTGGTTTAACATTGAGTCTCCCCGGTCAAAACCGTAATTCAGTATCCGTAAATCTTCCGACAAAATATCCATGTTTTGGCTGAAGACTTCATGAGCTTCTGATTGTCTCTCAAACCTCTCAATCCCGAATTTTTCCAAAACGAGGTTGAAGCACCTACCTACGTGGTTAGTATCTCTCCATTCGAAGTATACCTCTATATGTGCCTCACTATTTGACGCACCTTTATAATCCGCTACTTACACGGTTAGTATCTCTCTTTTCGACGCACCGCATTTTAATAATTCGCTTTTTCACACGGCTATCAATCCACTTCTTGATGTGTTAGTGCCTCTCGTTCGACACGCCCTACACCTCTAACAATGTACTTCTATATACTGTCAATTTATCTTCTTCCCCGCTTTTTGATATAGCTACCCGCGTTTATTCGCTGTAAAATGCCATTTTCAACTACCCTAGCTCCGGCTCTTCAACGCCGTCTTCACCGGCGACCGCGTTATACGACACGACAACATTTTCACCAACTGCTTCAAAACTAGGTATTCAATTTGTAGCAGCTCTATAATTTTATGCTCGTGGGGGGCTATCATATTTTATACTAGTAGTAGCTTAGTTTCTAGGACTATGAAGATCGGCCAAAAGAAAAAAGTGAAAAAAGACACTGAGCAGGATTGACCGCTAGACTAATCCTAAAGGATACCCTAAGGGTGGTAGGGGTACCACATTAAAAGGACTCAATACCATACATGGTGTCTATAGAAGTACATTCGTTTTCATTTCACAAGATATGGTGAAGAATTTTGCCCCAAGAGTAATGTGCTCTAGTGCCAGTCGATTGTAATCTGAGTATCAGGCAACCATATAACATGCATTAAAAACCACCAGAAGGGCAGTAGGGGTAAATAGAGCCTGGCGCGAGTGTGACTGACTGCGGACGAAAAAAAAAAAAAAAAAAAAAAAGAGGAGAACGATGATGTTGTATACAAGCTTCAGATTGTAACTAGGGAATGATTCTGCTTTACACTAGCTTAAATGTCCCTGCAGCTTGTGATTGGCCAACTTTACTTTATTCCAAGGTAACATGTGGGTCTTCTCTATACGCGTATCTGCAATCCGATCTATAGAAAGACCTAAAAATAAAAATAAAAAATTATTCTATCCTGAGAATGTCCGAAAATGACGGATTATAAAGGCTCTAAATCCTTCAACTTAGGTCTGCTCAACTCAACTCACAGCACTTCCTTCTTTCTTCGCGTGTCCATACAATCGCCAAACATGTCTGAACTCGTGTCTCGTTCCTACAAATTTTGGAACTATGCACCTTCGATACCGGCAGCTGTCATTTTCATGCTGATTTTCATGGTCCTAACGGGCCTTCATTCTTGGAAAATGTTCAGAGCCAGGACATGGTTTTGTATAGCATTTACCTTAGGCGGCTTTTGTATGTGGACTCCCTTCCCTTGCAATCTTATCCTTCCATGCCCCGAAGACCAGACGCTGACCTGCATTGCAATCAAGTCCAGATCATTGGTTACATCGGCCGCTGCGTTGCACACAATGATACGGTTAAAATGGGACCGTACATTGTCGCCAACATGTTCATTCTGCTCAGTCCTACACTCTTCGCCGCAACCATCTACATGACCCTTGGTCGAATCATCCGTCGGGTTCGAGGAGAACATCTTTCTCCCATTCGGGTCTCGCGCCTTACGAAAACATTTGTCTGGTTCGATGTTTTGTCTTTCGTTGTCCAGGGAAACTCCTCATCTCTCTCGGTTATGGGATACCCCAAGTGGGGAAAGGTGTGCGTTGTGATCGGTTTGGCAATTCAACTTATTTCCTTTTCCCTCTTTTGGGTAACAGCCATCATTTTCGCAAAGCGCCTTCGCCGTGCACCCACTCCCGAGTGTCTCAAGCCCGGTATCCCCTGGCAACGATCAATGCATATGCTATATGCTGTCAGTGCTCTGATTTTGGTCCGCTCTATTTTCCGGATCATTGAATATGTTATGGACAATGACGGTTATCCCCTTATGCATGAGTGGACATTGTATGTGTTTGATAGCTTGCCGATGGTAGTTGTCATGGTCATCTTCTTTATTTGGTATCCTGACCAGATGAGCCTTGACTCGGATTCCGATGGAAACATCCCGCTTACACACAGCTACTCTGGTGTTTGAATTTCTTGTGCTTGGAGCGAGGCTCTATATACCCTTCTTTGGAGTTTATTTTGTGATAGAACAATTGCTTTTTTCTACATTTAGCACATGCTTCAACAATTACCATCTTTCATACTTTGCCATCAAGCATATTTACCAATAGATATCATAGATAACACCCAACGTCTAATTGAGAAAACCCCTTAATTTAGGGCCGTCCAATTTAGGGGACTGAGCCCTCCATGGACCCACTTTAGCCTCGGGTTCGAATACGCGTATAGCTTTTGCCTCTCAACCGAGTGGAGTTTATGTAGAGTTCATATCCACTAGAATATCTCTTGATATGCAGAAATAAACACAATTGAGCTAATGGAACCAAGGCAGTAATATTCAAGTCCCTTGGCTGCTGAATGCGCGTATAGACTACGTGTAACCTTCGAATCCCAGAAACAAACAACAATAAAATGCTAAACATATGTCCTCTCCGAAACAAAATATGCAGCAAATTTTTTCCTCCGAGTCTAGTCTCCAAAGTGCTGGTTTTCACACCATGAGCCTCTCTCCATCGTTGTGCTTGGCTCAGGCCTTTTCGTATCCCCACGTACTAGGCGCCGAAGTGCTATCACTACAAGCTTCCCAGGTCTCAAATGTATCCCAGTCTATTCCCGCATGGTACTACTATAACCATGGCGGCGTGAAAGCTCAAAATCTCAACTTCTGCAATGTCACAGTGACCTACAAGCACACCGCCAAAAACGACACCATCAACGTTGGCGTGCTTCTACCCAGTGATTCCTGGAACGAGCGATTACAAGGAATCGGAGGAAACGGCTACACAGCTGGGCTCACATCAATAACAGCGTACGGAATGATTGCAGCTGCTGCCGAAGGATATGTCGCCATTTCAACGGATGGTGGTCACACAAGCGACGACCCTGCAGACTGGGGCCTTCTGGAAAATGGGATGCCAAACTATGATACCATGTACAACTTTGCCATTGCTTCTCTTGGAGATGCAGCAATTATCGGAAAGAGCTTAGCAGAGAGCGCTTATGGATCGAAGCCAAAATACTCTTATTGGACCGGATGCTCACAAGGCGGCCGACAGGGTTTGGCGCTCGCCCAGCAATATCCCGAAGCATATGATGGGATTGTTGCTTCTGCTCCGGCAATTAATTGGCCGCAACTTTCATTGGGAGGATACTGGGCTCAGTTTATCATGAACCAGCTCGATGAATACCCATACCCTTGCGAGATCAACGCAGTGACAGATGCCGCCCTCTCCGCCTGCGACAGTGCTGACGGTGTCATGGATGGTATAATCTCGGACCCAGATTCATGTGTCTTCGATCCGTTCGCTCTAGTGGGTGCTGAAATCAACTGCAGTGACACTGGATCGCAGTTGAGAATCTCGGCTGCCACCGCAAATATTGTCAATGCTACCTGGACGGGAGCATGGGACTCACAGAGCAACTTCTTGTGGTATGGTTTCTATCCCGGAACTCAATTGACAGGAGGAAATACCCCGGCAAATACAAAATGTGCCAACGGGACATGCACTGCGGTATCCAGCGAGCTGTATAATCGATGGGCTCAGGTGTTTGTCGAGCACAACCTGAATTTCACCTTGACGAATATCACACACCAAACATATGATCACCTTTTCCGAAAGTCCGTCCAGCAATGGAATTCGGTATTCGGAACGAATAACCCGGATCTATCGAAATTCCGTGACGCTGGGGGCAAGATGCTTACATACCATGGCCTGGTGCGTTTCATATTTCGTTCAAGAAACACACTTATACTAATTTTTGATGCAGATGGACGAGGTAATCCCTTCCAATGGCACGAGGTCATATTACGAAGCGGTAACTGCTGGCGACTCGAACATTCATGATTACTATAAGTTGTTCGAAGCACCAATGATGGGACACTGCTTTGGCACGAAAGGAGGATATCCTTCTACTATGTTCGACAGCCTTGTTGCTTGGGTCGAGTCTGACAATGCTCCTACAAGTCTTCCAGTGAAATACTCCCCAGAAGATGGGAAGACGTATGACAGAATCCTGTGCCCATACCCACAGCGAGCGAAGTACAAAGGTACTGGGGATGTGACATCCGCTGAGGCGTTTTATTGTGCTCAATGAGTTGTTTCTGCTTAATGCTTGATACAAGCTATAGGTCTTGTTATAAAGGCGATTTCAACGGTTGAATTCTGTAGACTGCTATCTACATTGTTGAACCTCGATGCGTAAGTTGAGAACAATCCCTAATCGAATCGTGCATTTTGCAGGAAAGATATGTACTCTATAGACCGATATGACAGAAAGATTGCTGCCAGAAAGGAACAAAAAGATCAAAGTATACAAGAAAAGCCAGCTGCAAAGCAAACCGAACAGGCAAGTAAAAAACTATACAACAGTATAACCCTACATAAAAGACGACAACGACCATCACAACTAACACGCTCATACGCCAAAAAGACACCAACTTATATCCATCATGTATATCAGTCTACCAAGAGAAACTCTCTTCCACATAATCAACATTGGACTGAGTCTGTCTCTTGCGACACACACGGCGAACGTCATCACTCAGACCGCCATTGCCACAGACAAGAACACCCATGGCGCCAATTTGATTCTCGACCTCCATGCCGACCAGTGTATCAATATTAGGACGACCAGGGAACATCTGCACAGTCGCAGAGGGACTCTGGATCTCCTTGGTGTTACGCGGCCGCGTAACAAAGAGCATGATGCGCAGGACTTCACGGCGGCGATCCATCGCCAAGATACTGGTCATCCAAGGCCGGATCCACTCCAAGTGTTCGGGCGACTGGATGATCCAGACGAGTGTGACGCGGCGGGCAGCGACGGTGCCGTTCGCGAACCCAGCGACCAGGTGGCGGACGAAGGGGACGTGGTGGGTGATACCAACTCCGCCGGCGAAGAGCATCACCGTACCGTATGAGTCCATGGTGTGGATGTTACCATATGGGCCCTCGGCAAAGGCGCGGAGGGTAATCTGTGAGCTCGGGGAGTTTGCAGCGCGCTGGAAGAGCTTGTCGGTCATTCCGGTGCGGCGGCGAACGAGAAGAGAGATTGTTTCTTTTTGGGGCGCGCTGAGGATGTCTTTGCTTGTGAGTGGGAGTGACTTCTCATCGGTATTGCTGTCTTCAGATTCGCTCCAGCCAACGGAGAACGGGTGCGAGGTCCACAAGCCCACTGCTGGGATGTAGAGGTAGATGTGCTGGCCCGGGCGGAAGGTCCAGGGGCGGGCCATGCGCAGGGTAATGCGCATTGCGTCGCCGTGCATGGCCTCGATGGTTGCGGTTGTGGATTCACGGCCGCAGTTACGGTACACAATGATTAAGAAGCGGGTGGCTCGCTCGAGGGCCCAGAGGATGATGGATGCAAGCAGATAGGTTTGCGCTGGTAGCCCGTTGAGGTGAACCCAAAGGAAACCCATAGACACGGCGGCAATGGCAATGTGCAAGTGGAGGAATGTCTCATAGAATGCATGGCGAATAGGCGAGGGCGAGTGCAACAAGAGCACAGTGAATGCACAGGCGGCCACCAGGCCGGTCAACAAAAAGTTGCTATTACTCAGAGCCATTCCGACAACCTTCCAGCCTTTCTCGTTGCCTTTGGGGATAGCCCATGCAAACACATGAGCAAGACTCTCCAGCACCACGATTCGGCCGAGCCATCGGTGGAGCAGATTCCATGTATCGAAAGGTACATGGAGCATAGCAATTAGAGGGTTGCTACGGCCTGCCATCAGGACCAATGGGATCAAGTTCACGGTTGCCATAACTCCGGTACGGTTACGAATAACACCAGCAAGGGTGTCCGTCTCGGATCCATACGGAGTTGTCACACAGCAGAGCGTGACGTTCATGGCAATAACGCCAGTGACAAGGAACGCATGGAAGCGGCTAGGCAAAGTACCCATGTTAAGAGCTGATGAGAGTTGGAGTTCACGGTTGTGTCGGTTGCGGAACAGCGCAGCGTATATGATATGGTCCTTGATCCAGGCAAAGGTATTGTGTGTAGAGACGAAGTACCGTTGTCGGTCATCGGTGAAGCTTGCCAGGCGTCGAAGATGGCGAGAGAAGCGAAAGGCGAGCTGCCAAATGTAATAAGCGGCGGCAGCACATCCAAGGGCGAGGAGTGAATAGCGTGCCAGATCATCGTTGACGGCTTCGTAGTAGGGAGAGTAACCACCAGATCGTTTTTCGATGTATTCAATATCCGTTGCGCTGGTCAGTCCGGCAAGGGACATCGCCAGAAGAAAGGAGTGCATGATGACCAACCAAAGATACCGCACGTCAAGTGCTTAGGATTGAACTTGGTGTGTTATTTAGCGAGGCCAGCTCGCTGGAAAAAAAAAAGAGTGTATTGAAAAGGGGAACGTTGATACCTGCCCCGACCCTAGAGAAGGCTCGGAAGATATTGTCGAGTAGAACAGCAAACAAAACAACCCCAGGTTGCTTGATCAAATGGCAGAAGCAAGGATTGAAGGGATTCGGACGTTTAGGGGTTTTTCCGTTGGGTGGCTGGTGTCAAGTAGAGGACCTGCCTATATCTAACATATAGAATTCAGAGCGAAAGCATGGAATAAAAGTCCTAGGTCGATATTTTTCAGTCCAATTAGGTTCAGTGAGAAGCGAAAATGTTCACAGAACAGCGGGCGATGTTTGTTGAAGGCTGTTGTCGACGGGCAACGAAAGGAATGCTTGTGATCCAGTCACAGCCAAAAAGAAAAATGTGCTAGAGATGGAATTTGTCGGACACAATGAAGATTGTTTCGAAAACAAAGGCAAAAGAAATGAGACAATGTTGATTGTTGTGAAAAAGAAAATGAAAGAATAACAATGAAAGATCGAAAATAGACAGAAGAAAGGACTGTTTCCCCTTGTGTTCAGTCCAGTGAAGATAGTGAGACAGAGTCAGGGCCAACCGGACCAATATGTAGAATTCAACCAAGACTCTCCACCTCTAGCACGGCCCATATCATGTGGAATTTGCTTTCCATTTTGATTTCCGGGTCATTTTCTTCAATTTTCTCGAAAGAGGGGGTTTGGCGCTAGGGCCACAGATCGATTCAAGGAGATACTCATGTGCGTATGGAGTATAAAGGCAGACGATCCTGCAGATCCATCGCGGCGAATCAGGGGCTCATATTTTCAGATAGCCTTTGCAGAATTTGGCAGAATATAGACCTCGAACATGCGACAGGTCAAGCCCCGAGTTGTCATAACGTGGCGGGAATACCGATCAAGGGTTGTGACTGGCCAGCGCTGAACAACGGTGAAACAGCCAGTGGACAAGCAGAGTTTGACAAGGATCAACAACCACACAGGCCGACATAGATCCGCGTCAATGCTTGGCCTACGACTGGCTTGTTTGAGAAAGGGGCCTTTCCTTCATCGATAGGCCAATCTAAAGTCGGAAGTGGGGAAAAAGGAGGGTTTGTGGGGGTCACGTTTTCATATTCGACCGGTCTCCTTTAGCGCTCAGTTCAACCCATCAGAGACGAACGGAGTAACCCACATTAGGGGCCGTGAAACAGTCCAAACATAGGGCTATTGCTCTAGTCATCACTGGAAAAAGTTATCTCTCCGTCTTCAGGGGGATGACTTCTTGGCATTTCATTTATATCAGACTGTAATCTCCTCTCACGGAGAATTCCCCCCGAGAAACTATGCCTTGGCCAAACACCCTCTGAGGAACTTGAAATAATTATTCTTGCCATTGGTCCTATACTCCGTAGTAGTTTGGCAAACTGAAACGGGAACATATGTACGGAGTGCTCCGTGTAATCCGATATCTTGTATCCTAACTGCGTGCTGCAGGTCTATATCATCCAAGGCCATTCCGTGTTGGCGCCAGAGTTTCATCAGTGTACAACTTGTTTTATCTTACGTGCCAGATACAGTGCGCATATAACTTGTCTCAGGTCAATCCCCAATTTTGAGGTCTTTCCATTGGTCCAAAGGCTAGTCTAAAGTTGAGAAAAACAAATAAAACCGATTATAGAGATCCAGAACAAACGTCTTAACAGCAAAAAAAAAAAAAACACCAATCCAAGGCCATGGGTATCAAATCAAAAATCCTAAACACCGACTTCCCAAAAAAAAGCGGACCGCCCATTCATATCCACCGTTCCTGAATCATGAACTTGCAAACAGTCGGTCAAGCTCGACCATGTAGACAGCCCAGGCATTCCTTTGCAATGTAAAATGTGATAGGGACCCCAGAACCATAGATGAACCAGGAGTCTCTGGGGGATATCCGGCACTCTGCCCGCGCAGGCAAACTGTCACCGTCTCAAGCAGGACCAGCCAAGAAAGCCCGGGCCCCGCTCAGAAAAAGCTGAGCTCATCGTCACTATCATCATCCCGATAACATGGAATGGCCGTTTGTCGAGGTATCGGCGGCTCAACATTATGACGCATGGTTGAAACCGAAGGGCGCGTAGACCTTCGCCTCTCTACTGTGCGATACACCTGATTTGCAGCACGCTCCAAAGTTGGCCGAACCACAGGCTGGCAAGGGCTGCTTGCTTTGTGATTAATGATCACGACTTCAACCTTTCGTGCCTGTTGTGTTGCGGAGGTCGTCCGTCCAGTCAGATTGGTGCTGCGCTCTCGCAGGATGCCTCGACGAGTGACTGGCTCCACAGTAGAATTGGATTTAGTCGGGGTAGGAGAGCGTATTTCGGGATTGTTTCCACCCCTGTCAACTACAACCATGGGGGTGGGTCGTTGGCGTTTTCTCGGCCGTTTGGATGAAACCTCGGTGTCCTCGAAAGTTCGCTTAGACGCCATCAGTGGAGGAGATGAAGTCAAACTTGAAACAGTGTCTTGGAATCGATCAGACCCAGGTGAGCTGCTGCCTGTGTCTATAACGGAAGCGATACAGGGCACGGGGCTTGATAGCATGCGCATGGGTCTTCGGGCCTTTTGCACTAGGATGGGCTTTCCCTTCGTCGCCGGCGTAGATGCCACCCACTCGCTTATGCTATCTTCCCACCGAAACAGGCCCGTATTCTCGCTAGACTCCTCGGCTTCTTCTAGGGACCTTTGGGCAGTGTCTTCCTGACGCTGTTTTGTTACGGCCGCCTCTTGAACGTCGACGGCCCACATGTGGTCATCGGGATCTCCCGTAGCTTCCGCAAACTCCATGGCGGCTTCTGCGGCCACTCGCCCAAGGAAGGCAGACAAGGCTGGTGTATCGGCTAATTGGGCAAGTTGCGAAACCATGGCACGTATTTCGCTGCTAGTATGTTCGGTTGCATGTTCTGCACTTTGTTTGAGGCCGCGAAACGCTTGGTGCACAAACAACGCTAACTCTCTAATCATGCCAGAGTCAGAGACTATAATCTCCGCGCATTCATCAATACTGGCTGTTGACGCCATCACATAATGGTCATTATCCAATAAAAGTTTGTCGTTGCACTTTACAAGGCTGGTGGCCAACAGGATACAGCCACGGCGTAACAATTGATGAGGAGTGTGGTTAGCCCGCTGTGGGACGGGATTTGAACCCAGTTCTCGCTGCAGAGCAATGTGGAGATAGCTTGTAATATAGCTAGCCTTCGTTCCATCCGCATTATCAGTGTCATTGGAGGCGCGAGACCGTGAAATATGCATGCCGCAGAGCGCTGCCATGAGGCTTATGACGTGATTGCTCAATGCATCCTCCACCTGCAAGGGACAAGGCCGCGCAAAATTTGAGATTTCCCACGCTGTGGTGGAGGCAGCCCTGGTCGCACGAGCACGAGGACGAGCAGTCTTTCCCTTCACGGGGAACTTTGAGGTAGGACTCTGAGCAGCAGTGACGGGGCGGACATCACTAGCTGAGAGAATCACAGCTTCAATCAACCGTGTAGCTGCGGGACAGTCTTCATCCTCTTTCGAAAGGGATATCGTTGCTCGTGTCATCCAGCTAGTCCATAACTTGGTTCCCATCCATTCTGGGGATAGCACTCCTCGCAAGAGAAGCTTTGCAAGTTCGTCGAAAATATAAGAGCGACTGGCAACGCCATGATGAGCATATTTGCGTAACAGTCGAATCGGATCCGAAGGGTCATGGTCAACCGCCGGCCTTAAAGCCTGGGGGTAAGGGTAATTTTTGCGTGTAGAAAGCAATGTAGAGAGCAATGAGTTACTTTCTTCGGGCGCAAAGGAATGACATTTCTCAATCAGCGCGCAGGCAATTGAATCTGTTATCCAATGATTCTGTATCAAGGTAGAGACCAAGTAGACACCCTGTGCGCGGACAGCTTCGCGGAGAGGCTTCCAACCTGTCCCACAAGGCGCATAAAATGCTTCCAATTCTGTAAAATATGCATCGCACATGTCTTCGTCCCCGTCCCCGTCCAATTCGTCCTGTGCTTCCTGCTCGCTCGCAATAAATTGAGGTAGACTTCGCGCAACCATAAACAGCAAGGATCGTGCACCGCGCCTGCTGCTTTCAGATACAGGCTTCTCTTCTTGTTTGGATATCACAGTGTTGCAAAGGAAATTTTGGAAGACACGATCGAGGTTGTGTGCTATGTCGGCGAAGCCCGGATCACCAGACTGGTCGAGAAGTTCTTGCCAAGGGCTCTTGTGGAGCGAATATCGATCACGGAAGACTTGCGGCTGTGATGGTTGGATATTGGAGTTGCGTTCCGACTGTGCACTCGGTGGCATCTCCCATCTCCTCCCAGTGATGAGTGGTGTGGCGACCTCAATCGCACCAGGTAGGGTACGTGGGGCTTCCGGGCTGTGTATTGATAGCCTGTTGCGTTTTTTGCCTCCAATCTCCTCTACTTTGGACGAATACTTGTGTCTGGGTCGACGTCGCTCGGGCTTTTTCCCTGGAATCCAAGCTGGGTCGTTTTCATCCGCATCTGAACCTGAGCAGTTTTGCTGGCCTTGTTTGTGATCGGTTTCCAAAGTAGGCACATCACTGCCCTCTGCAGTTTCTTGTGGTTCCGACTCGGTCGCGATCATCGACTGCGTTTCTTTGTGCTTTGCGATTCGACGGCATATGGAGGTCAAGGGGCGCAGGACACGGTTTGCCCATTTTGCGGTGGCTTGGCCGTCTTCCATTTGGGACGAAAGAACTAATAATATCTGCTAATAGCATACAACTGTCAGAAGAATCAGCACTGCCGCAAGTTCTTCTCTTGGTCATTGGGGTCGCACTGTACCAACCTCGCCGGACTAACAACCCCTTCAACGATGCATGATAAGAACAATGATGGCACTCAACCAGATATCGCCAATAATGTAGCAATAATCCAATGTAAATAAGATATGCTGAAGAATTAAAGGGAGTGTTAAGTGGAAAATGAATGACAGCATCGGATGCCCGGCAAACAAAGAAAACAAACATTGACTAATGCGGTAAAGCGGGCCAACACATATTGCCTATTATGGCAATCTTAGTTCCCCAGTACATTGATGTATACACTCAAGTTCATTAAAGGTATCCGTCTATTCAACTTCAACTATGTGCATATTAACGTAACGGAATCTACTCAGAAAGAGAAAATGGCCCAATTGGCAGATCCGCATAATGCACCAAATATGAGCCCATATAAGACAACCGAGTCCTTTCCATGCACGACCCGAGACAACCCAACCTAACAGATGAAACCAAAAATGTTTAAAAAAAAGAGAGAGGAGAGAGACCTAAAATACAACAGTTCTTTTCGCTCATAAAGCCTGCCCACCGATCCCCAAAATGACAATGGATATAGATATTAACACATGTAATAACCAAGAAAATAAGAACGGGAACCAATTAACGCAGTCTAAATTGGCTGGCTAAAAAAATCATTTATGCCTTGTTGGACTGCTTGGAGCCACGAAGCTTAGGGTTGCTGGTGGCGGCACGCTTCTTCTGCTTAGAGCGTGAAGAGCTAGCGTCGCTACCTTCGATGAACTTCAGAAGCTCATCGATGCTGCGAGAGTCGAGACCCGAGGGGTCGGCAGAGGCAGTGATCTCGGGCGCAGACTGACCAACCTGGGGCTGAACACGGGTGCCCATGGAAGACACGCGAGGGTTCAGAGGGTTGCGGCGCAGACGACGAGCCTGGATGTCCTTGGCGTGCTTAGCGATAGAGACAGCGTTTTGAGTGAGCTGCTCTAGCCAGTTCTCGGCCTCCTTGGTGTTGCGGTCTTCGGGTCCAAGCTGAGCGAGGAAGATATTGTATGCCTCGCGCATCTTGCCGACGGCAGCCTTGGAGTCCTGGTCCAAAGCGAGAGCCTGGGCGAGCTGGAAGAGAATTGTGGCGGTGTTGATGGAATCCTTGCCAAACAGGTCCTCGCAGACGGAGAGAGATGCCTCAAACCACTGGCGGGAGTCGTTGTACTGCTTGAGGTGTTGCAGCATCACAGCGGCGTTGTTCATCGTGGTGATGGAGTCGGGGTGGTTAGGACCGTAGATGATCTTCCAGACATCCATGGCGTGCTTGATGTAAACCAAAGCGGTCTTGGTGTTGCCAGAGGCATGCTCGAACAGACTCAGGTTGAGGTAGCTCAGGATAGTGTCGGCCGAATCGACACCCATAGTGCGCTCAGTAACGATGACAGCCTTGCGGGCCAATTCCACAGCAGCCTCCTTCTCATCAGTCTGGTAGTACAGCATGGAAAGCTGGTGGTAGAGCTTGGCGACCTCAGGGTGCAGAATACCGTAAATCTGCTCGTGCAGAGACAGAGACTCAAGGATGAGCTCCTGGCCCAACTGCTTCTGGTTCTGCATGAGAGAGATACGACCGGCCTCCAGGGCCTCCTCTGCCAATGCGCTGCGGGGAGAGGCATCACGGACCAAAGGAACAACATTCAGGATGTCATCAGCAGTGAAAGTGACAGCGGGCTTAGCGGGCGCCGGGGCGACTCGGGTAGGGGACTTGTTGTCACCGCCCTTCTTCTTGCCCTTCTTCTTAGGCTCCTCGTGAGTAGGGCCGTTGGTGACAGGAACAACAACCTGCTCCTTGACCTGAGCCTTGGTGAAGGCGAAGTCACGGGAACCGAGCTGGAGACCCAACTTGATGGAGATGTCGCGCAGAAGCTGCAAGTGTCTCAGAGAGTTGGTCCAGTCCTTCTCAAGGGAGAAGCGGAAGCGGATGGTGACCTGCTTCTCAAGCTCGGCCCTGAGGGACTCGGGAGTAACACTCTCAAAGGAAAAGTCGCCCTCGGGGAAGATCTCACGCAGAGATTCGTCAATCTCAGCCTTAGGAGTAGCGTTAACATCCGAGCCGAGGAGACAGTTCAGCAAGTGAGAAAGGCAAGGGGCGACAAAGGGGGCAGGGACATTGTTCAGGTAGCGGTTGGCAACGTGTTTGAAGGCACGAGTAATCATTTCCTGAATCAGGAGGATGGACAGAGCTTGCAGGCGAGGTCCCTTCTCGGTGGACTGTTGGGCCAACTTTCCGAGGTAACGGAGGTTAATACCACGCTTGTGCAGCAGCTGGGTCAGGGATTGACCGTCCATGGGGAAGCCAACGTCGCCGTCGTGCAAATCCTTGAGCAGGTCAGGGATGACCTTGGATCGCAGGTGATCACAAGCATCCCGGACTTCCTGCTCATCCTTTGCCCATTGCTCCTTCTCTTCCTCGGTCTGGGGTACCTGGCCGCTGAAAACATCCGGATTGAGAGCAAGGTTGAATCCAGAGATGTCAACACGCTCCTGGTCCGCGGTCTCCTCCTCGGTCTTGCCCTCCTTAGAAGCCTCGGCGCTAGCAGCCTTACGGCTCTCCACCTCGGCCTTCACGTACTGGCTCATCTTGTGGCGCCAGTAGGACTCGACCAACTCAAGTCGGAGAACGGACATGCGGTGGGGGTAAACATCGCTGCCATCCTCTTCCTGCCACTCGGCATCCAGAGGAGCCACGCGGTAGAGATCCAGGACGTACTTGCGGCCGTCAGTACCCAAAAGTCCCTTAGTCTCGACACTACCCTCCAGGTCGTGGCGCTGGTTCTCCTTGTCCCAGACAGGGTGCTGCTTCACACGCAGCGCCTTCGAGAGCTTCTCGAAGACTGGAACAAAGTCGGCGTGGGTGGCCACAACCTCCTTGCCCTCAACACCACCGTAGTCAATCTGGTGCTCACCGGGCTCGCGCTGCTTGAAGATACCAGGAACAATGCTCTGGCCAACAATACGCTTACCCAGGTAGTCAACTACCACGGTTCCAGGGGTGAATAGACCATCGATGTCAAGCTGGTTAACAGCCTTAATACCAAGGACGTCCTTACCCACGGCCACGCGTGCGGCTTCGTCGCCACCCTCGGAGGTGAAAGTCCCAACGCCATCGGCACCGAAAGAGTAGAAGATGTTGTTATAGACAAAGATCTGGGCGTCCCGCGCCTCAGTGGGGTTCAGAGGAGCAACCTCACCCCGGGCAACCAAGACTGCACCGCGAGCGGCGGCCTCGTTGTAATCGGCGAACAGCTTGGAGGTCAAGCGTTCCCGGAACACGCGATCCTGAACGGTCTCGCGGGGCAGCTCGCGGGTGGTCTGGAACTCCTCGTTCCAGTCACGCAGAGTCTCGGCGTTATCAACACCAGAGATCAGGTAGTTCTCCTGCGAACGGGTGATATCGGGCTGGTGGGCATTCAAGCTCGAAGTGCTGGGGGCAATGAGCCATGGGCTGTTGGGAATAGCGTTCTGGAAGGGGAAAGTGGTCAAAAGATCCTTCTCATTGTTGTACTCCTGCAGAGCCTCGAAGGAGTCGTTGAACGAGGGCGAGAGTTGGGAGATGAGAGTGAGGAGGGAGTGGGCGCTGCCCTTCTTGGGGTGTGTTGGCTTCGGGAATGGGTCGAATCTGATGCTCGAGCACTTGTTCACGAAGAACCCAGACACATGGGCAGTGATCTGGAATTGTTCACCTTCGTTAGTAGCAACCACGAGGTAGAGCAAGTGACCCTTCTGGCGGAGGTTGTACGGAACGGGGTTCCATGCAGACAATGAGATGGACTTCACTGTCTTGGGCAGAGGAGCCTGTGCAGAGGGCAGGATAGTCTGCAGCGGTGAAACTCCAGTCAGGTCATATTTGGAGAGGGAGTGTTCCTTCTCCGACTCGCTGGCCTTGAGAGCGTCCGCCGTAATAGTATCGTGCAGGGACAAACCGGCGGAGATACCATGGAGGTTGTCAACGCGGTCACCAGAAGCACCAATTAGCTCCCTGATACGCACAACATGCATGCGGGCCTCCTTCTCGGTGTAGGGATCCTCGACCAGGACGATCTCGGATTCGGCCTCGAGGTCCGGGACCTCAGACAGCTCGACGAAGTCGTTGATGCGCTTGCCGTTGAACTCGAGGTGGAAGCAAGTGTATTGGAAGGTTCCCGGTAGTTCGACAATGGATTGGCGGACATCCTGAACCTGTTCTTGGCTGGAGACCTAGAAAAGCAAACAGGTCAGATAAATTTTTTTCTCTTCGTGGCCTTTCGAAACATCAAACCCACCATCACTTGGATCTTATGCGGCGCGTGAGGGAGCTTCACAGAGATCTGGAAAAGACCTATAGTCGAATTAGAACGCTATTGTACAGTTCTGCGTCCAATTATCCAACATACCACCGGCGTTGTCCTCCTCTGTGCCCTCGGGGGCATTGCCATTGACAATCTCTTGGGAAGCTTGGGGAGCCTCTGTTCCTCCGTTAGCTCGTGTGCCTTGCATCTTGTTTTACCCGGAACCCATGGCGTATTCCAATGGACCTTGCCCACAATGGAGGTTCCAGGGCCAACACACACCTTTCGAGTGCTCCAACTCCCCATTGGTCTGTGCCATTATGTCGAGTCGGTTATGAAGAGAGCTTCGACGAAGTAACAACAGTAAACCCTTATCTCACAACCGTCACGCGGGCGAGAGACAAAAGTTCGGGAAAATAGAACGGGAAAAGAAAAGATTGAGGACCTGCGGGGATTCGGCAGGTAAATTTTTTAGTATAGTATACAAAGAGAACAAGGGAAATTGAGCAAGAAACAAAAACCCCGTACCCCAGGAAGTTGAAAATAAGGCAAGGATGAATGGATAGGAGTGAAACTGGGAAACCGGAGAGAAAATTTCTCGGATGCGGCATACCCTCGGAAGTGCTCGGGCG